TGAGTACCAGTCTCCATATTTTCAAGCATAGCGGTAGCTGCATCATGTTATGGGTATGCTTGTAATCGTTAAGGAGTGGGGAGTTTTTCAGGATAAAAAATAAACGAAATGGAGCTAAATCGGAATGGAGGCAAAATCCTAGAGGAAAACCTGGTTCAGTCTGCTTTCCACCAGACACTGGGAGATGAATTCACCTTTCAGCAGGACAATAACCTAAAACACAAGGCCAAATCTACACTGGAGTTGCTTACCAAGAAGACAGTGAATGTTCCTGAGTGGCCGAGTTACAGCTTTGACCTAAATCTGCTTGAAAATCAATGGCAAGACTTGAAAATGGTTGTCTAGCAATGATCAACAACAAATTTGACAGAGTTTGAAGAATTTAGAAAATAATAAACAGCCAAATGTTGTACAATCCAGGTGTGAAAAGCTCCTAGAGACTTACCCAGAAAGACTCACAGCTGTAATCGCTGCCATAGGTGATTCTAACATGTATTGACTCAGGGGTGTGAATACTTACAGTGAGGGAAAAAAGTATTTGATCCCCTACTGATTTTGTACATTTGCCCACTGAAAAAGAAATGATCAGTCTATAAGTTTAATGGTAGGTTTATTTGAACAGTGAGATACAGAATAACAACAAAAAAAATCCAGAAAAATGCATGTCAAAAATGTTATAAATTGATTTGCATTTTAATGAGACACTCTCATTCAGAAAGATTTCTGACTCCCACATGTCTTTTATACTGGTAACGAGCTGAGATTAGGAGTGCACTTTTAAAGGGAGTGCTCCTAATCTCAGCTTGTTACCTGTATAAAATAAACCTGTCCACAGAAGCAATCAATCAATCAGATTCCAAACTCTCCACCATGGCCAAGACCAAAGAGCTCTCCAAGGATGGCAGGGACAATATTGTAGGCCTATACAAGGCTGGAACGGGCTACAAGACCATCACCAAGCAGCTTGGTGAGAAGGTGACAACAGTTGGTGCGATTATTCGCAAATGGAAGAAACACAAAAGAACTGTCAATCTCCCTCAGCCTGGGGCTCCATGCAAGATCTCACCTCGTGGAGTTGCAATGATCATAAGAACGGTGAGGAATCAGCCCAGAACTACACGGGAGGATCTTGTCAATGATCTCAAGGCAGCTGGGACCATAGTCACCAAGAAAACAATTGGTAACACACTACGCCGTGAAGGACTGAAATCCTGCAGCACCTGCAAGGTCCCCCTGCTCAAGAAAGCACATATACAGGCCCGTCTGAAGTTTGCCAATGAACATCTGAATGATTCAGAGGAGAACTGGGTGAAAGTGTTGTGGTCAGATGAGACCAAAATCGAGCTATTTGGCATCAACTCAACCTCCTTCCCTCAGCCAGGGCATTGAAAATGGGTCGTGGATGGGTATTCCAACATGACAATGTCCCAAAACACACGGCAAAGGCAACAAAGGAGTGGCTCAAGAAGAAGCACATTAAGGTCCTGGAGTGGCCTAGCCAGTCTCCAGACCTTAATCCCATAGAACATCTGTGGAGGGAGCTGAAGGTTCGAGTTGCCAAACGTCAGCCTCAAAACGTTAATGACTTGGAAAAGATCTGCAAAGAGGAATGGGACAAAATCCCTCTTGAGATGTGTGCAAACCTGGTGGCCAACTAAAAGAAACGTCTGACCTCTGTGATTGCCAACAAGGGTTTTGCCACCAAGTACTAAGTCATTTTTGCAGAGGGGTCAAATCCTTATTTCCCTCATTAAAATGCAAATCATGTGTTTTTCTGGATTTGTTTGTTTTTATTCTGTCTCTCACTGTTCAAATAAACCTACCATTAAAATTATAGACTGATCATGTCTTTGTCAGTGGGCAAACGCACAAAATCAGCAGGGGATCAAATAATTTTTCCCCTCACTGTATGTAAATTAGACATTTCAGTTTTCACTCTGTCATTATGGGGTATTGTGTGTAAATGGGTGACAAAAAATATATTTAATCAATTTTGAATTCAGGCTGTAACACAACAAAATGTGGAATAAATCAAAAAGTATGAATACTTGCTAAAGGCACTGTAAATGGAAAGATAGAAGGAGAGGTCTGGGATACAGCTGGGGAAGAGTGACTCTTATGGCTCCGTGGTGGAAGGAATCACCTGTTGAGAAACACTGCTGTGTCAGTGTTTCTCAACATTTTGTACCAGAGACTGGCAAGCTATAGTTGTTCCTTTTTAGGGGAACACTGTAGAACTGAATGAATCAGCGTCTGCTAACCATCTCAGGGACCGGTCAACATCACCTTCTTGATCATTTGCATTGTAACAAGTGCTGAGAGTTTTAGTGCTTTTTGAGGTCGGTTTGGTTTCAGATTCAATTCTTTAAAAATTAACACGGTTTTTGATTTCATTATTTTTTTCATTAAATCACTGTGTGGGTTGAATGCTGTAACAACACTGAATAAACCAATTAATAAAAGTCCCATGATGGTAGTGTCTGCCGTTACTGCTTATCACTTATTAACAATAATTTATTCACATACTTTAATAAAATATTTCAGTTGCTGTGTATTTGCTTACTTTATTTTTATCCAAGTCATCATCTCATCTCTATAGAGCTGCTGCCTATGCTCTCTGAGAAAATCCCTATTTTAGTAGCTCTTCAAAGTAAATAAGGCATATTTTTATGACTGCTGATTACCAACTATCAATCACTTAGATCATGTATTTTAAGGTAGAGATACCTCGAAGCAACTACTTCCTATCACTCTCGATCGTGTATTCTTCTGTCTCTTTTACGAGGCGTAAAAGAAACACAGATGGACAAGTAGGCGTGCAATGGATTATGGCCATTGTAGTTAATTACCACGTTTTCTGCACTAAACTATGTATTATATTGGCCTGTTGGAAACTACAAATCCCTACTACATCGCACAGTTCGGGCTTGATCTGATTTATCTCCAGACTAGAGAAGCTGCGCAATGTGTGAATTGAGCTCACAGAATAAAAAAATATATACAGTGGGGAGAACAAGTATTTGATACACTGCCGATTTTGCAGGTTTTCCTACTTACAAAGCATGTAGAGGTCTGTCATTTTTATCATAGGTACACTTCAACTGTGAGAGACAGAATCTAAAACAAAAATCCAGAAAATCATATTGTATGATTTTTAAGTAATTCATTTTCATTTTATTGCATGACATAAGTATTTGATACATTACAAAAGCAGAACTTAATATTTGGTACAGAAACCTTTGTTTGCAATTACAGAGATCATACGTTTCCTGTAGGTCTTGACCAGGTTCGCACACACTGCAGCAGGGATTTTGGCCCACTCCTCCATACAGACCTTCTCCAGATCCTTCAGGTTTCGGGGCTGTCGCTGGGCAATACGGACTTTCAGCTCCCTCCAAAGATTTTCTATTGGGTTCAGGTCTGGAGACTGGCTAGGCCACTCCAGGACCTTGAGATGCTTCTTACGGAGCCACTCCTTAGTTGCCCTGGCTGTGTGTTTCGGGTCGTTGTCATGCTGGAAGACCCAGCCACGACCCATCTTCAATGCTCTTACTGAGGGAAGGAGGTTGTTGGCCATGATCTCGCGATACATGGCCCCATCCATGCTCCCCTCAATACGGTGCAGTCGTCCTGTCCCCTTTGCAGAAAAGCATCCCCAAAGAATGATGTTTCCACCTCCATGCTTCACGGTTGGGATGGTGATCTTGGGGTTGTACTCATCCTTCTTCTTCCTCCAAACACGGCAAGTGGAGTTTAGACCAAAAAGCTCTATTTTTGTCTCATCAGACCACATGACCTTCTCCCATTCATCCTCTGGATCATCCAGATGGTCATTGGCAAACTTCAGACGGGCCTGGACATGTGCTGGCTTAAGCAGGGGGACCTTGCGTGCGCTGCAGGATTTTAATCCATGACGGCATTGTGTGTTACTAATGGTTTTCTTTGAGACTGTGGTCCCAGCTCTCTTCAGGTCATTGACCAGGTCCTGCCGTGTAGTTCTGGGCTGATCCCTCACCTTCCTCATGATCATTGATGCCCCACGAGGTGAGATCTTGCATGGAGCCCAAGACCAAGGGTGATTGACCGTCATCTTGAATTTCTTCCATTTTTTAATAATTGCGCCAACAGTTGTTGCCTTCTCACCAAGCTGCTTGCCTATTGTCCTGTAGCCGATCCCAGCCTTGTGCAGGTCTACAATTTTATTCCTGATGTCCCTACACAGCTCTCTGGTCTTGGCCATTGTGGAGAGGTTGGAGTCTGTTTGATTGAGTGTGTGTACAGGTGTCTTTTATACAGGTAACGAGTTCAAACAGGTGCAGTTAATACAGGTAATGAGTGGAGAACAGGAGGGCTTCTTAAAAAAAAACTAACAGGTCTGTGAGAGCCGGAATTCTTACTGGTTGGTAGGTGATCAAATACTTATGTCATGCAATAAAATGCAATTGAATTACTTAAAAATCATACAATGTGATTTTCTGGATTTTTGTTTTAGATTCCGTCTCTCACAGTTTTTGTGTACCTATGATAAAAATTACAGACCTCTACATGCTTTGTAAGTAGGAAAACCTGCAAAATTGGCAGTGTATCAAATACTTGTTTTCCCCACTGTATATGGAATTCAAATAATTGAACCAACATCGGCCAATTTGTTGTTTAAAAAACGAAAAATAACCGACATTGTGGTTAATCACTCAGCACTAATTGTAACTCCACCCTCCAGTAAATGTGAAGCTCAAATTCAGATCCTTATTATATCCATTAACGGTAAGGAAATTGATCCGGTTCTGGAAGTCTGTCACCTGTCTCCTCCTTCATGCTCTTTATCTGGTCCTCCATCTTGCCAGAGACGTCCTTGAGCTTCTCGAAGTTGCCCTTGTACCACTTTTCTGCCTTCTGGATGTTGCGGGCTACGGCAGCTTCGATCTCCATTCATATTTGGCACAGGAAGGCAGCCAGGGCTTGTCTGAGTCCAGCTCAGCGGTCACCTTGTAGTCCTTGATCTACTTGAGGAGGTCGGCCACCTCCTTGTCATGGAGCTTCTTGAGGAATTGGATCTCGGCCATCAGCTTCTCTACGCGCCACTCCAGGTCGGCCCTCTGCAGCATGGTGTTGTCCACATTCTGCTGGAACTCCGTCAGGATCATCTCCGCCTCGTCCCACAGAGCCAGCTCCTCCACCTCCTCCTCGATGTAGCCCCTCTCGATGTCCACCTCGACCCTTCTCCTGGGTCAGTGCCTCAATCAGATCCCTTATTTCCTTGAGTTTGAGCCTGTACTCTTCCCCGATGCCGCTGGGCCCTCCCTTGTATCTGCCCTTCAGATCATCCAGTTCCACCTGCAGTTGGGCATTCCTCTGTTCCAGTGTCTGAAAATGTCCGATATAGCCTGCGAAGCGCACGTTCAGCATGATGTTTGTGGAATTCAGTTCCCACCTCCACTGCTGTTGCAGAGCCGCCCTGGTAGCCGGAGCATCCATGGCTGAATGTGGTGCCTGGGCAGTGGGATGGTTTGGTTGCTGTAGGATCTGGTCCAAACATAGGATCTGTTTGCTTGTGTGGTTGAGAATAGTTCCACCAACCAGGAAGGCTCGTTTCCGTTTGCTGGTCAACCTTACTCTCTCATATCGCCAGGGGTATAGAGTGGGGTCTGAAATGATTGACACCCTTGATAAAGATGCCCAATAATGACTTTATAAAATAAATAATTCAAATACTTAGCTGTATTGTTTACAAAAGAAAATGGGGAAATTGTATTATTTTAAACTAATACAATTGCTCAGAGAAAAACATTTTTTCTCAAAAAAGGTAGGGATTACAATTAAATTGACACCCATAAAGATTATTCTAAATAAAGTAGTCAAAAGTTTAGTATTTGGTCCCATATTCCTAGCACGCAATGACTACATCAAGCTTGTGACTCTTGTTGGATGCATTTGCAGTTCGTTTTGGTTGTATTTCAGATTATTTTGTGCCCAATAAATATGTATGGTAAATAATGTATTGTGTCATTTTGGAGTCACTTTTATTGTGAATAAGAAAATAATATGTTTCTAAACACATCTATATTCATGTCGATGCTACCATGACTACGGATAATCCTGAATGAATTGTGACTAATGATGAGGGCGAAATTTACAGAGGGTAAAAATTCATACCCCCAAGACATGCTAACCTCCCCTGTTATTGGTAATGGTGAGAGGACAGCATGCCTTGGGGGTATGATCTTTATGATATGACACACAGACAGAGACCAGAGATCGAGAGAAGGAAGGAAAGAGAGATGGACAGCTCTGTAGCTCTGGAGGGATGAGGAAAAAGAGGAAAGGTTGTCTGTTGATCTTCGTCTCCTGGCACCTACACAGCTGTATCAGAACAGGCTGCTCGGGTTGGCCACGCACGCACACACACAGTAGTTGGGATTGAACGTGACAACGCAGTTTGACATTTCCAGCTTTCAGACACTCTCCCCCCATGGATGTTTGGGCTGAAGGGGAGTGTGTGTGTGTGTACACGAGTGTGAGTCTTACACTATTAACTGAGGGAGTGAAGGCTCTATTTTTACCTCTGTAAATCAGTCTGCCGGTCTCCCAAACTTTCACACACACACACACACACACACACACACACACACACACTGCCACTATTACCTTTGCCTGCCTGCTCCCCTGCCTTCACCAGTCACCCCCCACCCCTGGAAAGAATAACTCTATTGTCTATCCCCCTCTCTTTTGTTAATCTAAAAAAAACACGTACAGAAAAACTGTCACACACCCGAGGTGACATGGCCTACTTTGAGAAGTGTGTGTGTGTTCACATTGGTGTGGTGTTCACATTGGTGTGTCTGGTATAGCTGGGCAATATGGGAGTGGGATGTCAAAATGAATTTAACAGCCCCAATTGTGAAACAAGACAGCTCTCTCACTCCGTTTGATGTTATCTATTTTGCTTCCCCACATGTTGGAGGGTTGCTTATTAATGCCACTTCTCATGAGTCTTTGAAACGTCAGGTGTACGCCCACACCGACGAACCACACCAACACACAGCTTCTTGTGCCTTGGCAACATCAGGTGCTAAGGCTGACACACAATTAGTGTATGTTTTGGCAGGAAGCCTGGAAAAATTTCACTTTTTAGCCTCGAATCAAACAGCAAAGAAGGACGGCTCCTTAAGACATCTCACACGTAGCCTCGAGCATCTTCACAGCACAATATTTACTTTCAAATCAAAGGAACAATTCAAACCTAGTGACATCCTAGTGAGTTGGCTCTTATACAGTATGTTGCAGCTAAGACCAGGTACAGGGTGCCCTTAAGCCGTTATAAATCAATTGGGAAAATAATGGAACTTAATCAATATCAAATGCAAAACTGCTACACAACAAAATGTCAATAGTAACGGCTGTATATTAGGTCAATATTGACAAGGCCGCAGGGCCAGACGGATTACCAGGACGTGTAATCCGAGCATGCGCTGACCAATTGGCAAGTGTCTTCACTGACAATTTCAACCTCTCCCTGTCTGAGTCTGTAATACCAACATGTTTCAAGCAGACCACCATAGTCCCTGTGCCCAAGAACACTAAGGTAACCTGCCTAAATGACTAACGACCCGTAGCACTCACGTCTGTAGCCATGAAGTGCTTTGAAAGGATGGTCATAGCTCACATCAACAACATTATCCCAGAAACCATAGACCCACTCCAATTTGCAAATTGCCCCAACAGATCCACATATGATGCAATCTATATTGCGCTCCACACTGCCCTTTCACACCTGGACAAAAGGAACACCTATGTGAGAATGCTATTCATTGACTACAGCTCAGCGTTCAACACCATAGTGCCCTCAAAGCTCATCACTAAGCTAAGGACCCTTGGACTAAACACCTCCCTCTGCAACTGGATCCTGAACTTCCTGACGGGCTGCCCCCAGGTGGTAAGGGTAGGTAACAACACATCCACCACGCTGATCCTCAATATGGGGGCCCCTCAGAGGTGTGTGCTCAGTCCCCTCCTGTACTCCCTGTTCACTTATGACTGCATGGCCAGGCACGACTCCAACACCATCATTAACTTTGCCGATGACACAACAGTGGTAGGCCTGATCACCGACAACGACGAGACTGCCTATAGGGAGGAGGTCAGAGACCTGGCCATGTGGTGCCAGGACAACAACCTCTCCCTCAACGTGATCAAGAAAAAGAAGATGAATGTGGACTACAGGAAAAAGAAGAGGACCGAGCACGCCCCCATTCTCATCGACGGGGGCTGTAGTGGAGCAGGTTGAGAGCTTCAAGATCCTTGGTGTCCACATCACCAACCAACTAACATGGTCCAAGCAAACCAAGACAGTCGTTAAGAGGGCACAACAAAACCTATTCCCCTTAAGGAGACTGAAAAGATTTGGCATGGGTCCTCAGATCCTCAAAAGGTTCTACAGCTGCACCATCGAGAGCATCCTGACTGGTTGCATCACTGCCTGTAATGGCAACTGCTCGGCCGCCGACCGCAAGGCACTACAGAGGGTAGTGCGTACGGCCCAGTACATCACTGGGGCCAAGCTTCCTGCCATCCAGGACCTCAATACCAGGCGGTGTCAGAGGAAGGCCCTAAAAATGGTCAAAGACTCCAGCCACCCTAGTCATAGACTCTTCTCTCTGCTACCGCACGGCAAGCGGTACCGGAGTGCCAAGTCTAGGTCCAAGAGGCTTCTAAACAGCTTCTACCCCCAAGCCATAAGACTCCTGAACATCTAATCAAATGGCTACCCAGACTATTTGCATTGACCCCCCACCCCTCTTTTACGCTGCTGCTACTCTCTGTTTATTATCTATGCATAGTCACTTTAATAACTCTACCTACATGTACATATTACCCCAATTACCTCGACTAACCATTGCCCACGCACATTGACTCGGTACCAGTACCCCCTGTATATAGACTCGCTATTGTTATTTTTACTGCTGATCTTTAATTATTTGTTACTTATTTCGTATTATTTTATATTGTATTTTTGTGTGATTTTTTGGGGGTATTCTTTCTTAAAACTGCATTGTTGGTTAAGGGCTTGTAAGTAAGCATTTCAATGTAAGGTCTACACCTGTTGTATTTGGCGCATGTGACAAATACAATTTCATTTGATTTGATTTGATGTGCAGATATTGCTGTACAAGTAGATAAAAGGCAGCCTCTCCATATACACTGAACAAAAAAGTGTTGGTCCCATGTTTCATGAGCTGAAATAAAAGATCCCAGAAATGTTCCATATGCAAAAAAAGCTTATTTCGCTCAAATGTTGCGCACACATTTGTTTACATCCCTGTTAGTGAGCATTTCTCCTTTGCCAAGATAATCCATCCACCTGACATGTGTGGCATATCAAGAAGCTGATTAAACAGCATGAACATTACACAGGTGTACCTTCCGCTGGGACAATAAAAGGCCACTCATTGTGTTGTGTGCAGTTTTGTCACACTACACAATGCCACAGATGTCTCAAGTTTAGAGGGAGCGTGCAATTGGCATGCTGACTGCAGGAATGTCCACCAGAGCTGTTGCCAGATAATTGAACGTTCATTTCTCTACCATAAGCGGCCTCAAACGTTGTTTTAGAGAATTTGGCAGTACTTCCAACCGGCCTCACAACCGCAGACCACGTGTATCCACGCTAGCCCAGGACCTCTACATCCGTCTGAGACCGGCCACCCAGACAGCTGATAAAACTGTTTCTGCACAAACTGTCAGAAACCGTCTCATGGAAGCTCATCTGCATGCTCGTCGTCCTCATCAGGGTCTTGACCTGACTGCAGTTTGGTGTCGGAACCACCTTCAGTGGGCAAATGCTCACAATCGATGGCCACTGGCACGCTGGAGAAGTGTGCTCTTCGCGGTTGAATCCCATTTTCAACTGTACCGGGCAGATGTCAGACAGCGTGTATGGCGCTGTGTGGGCGAGCGGTTTGCTGATGTCAACGTTGTGAACAAAGTGCCCCATGGTGGCGGTGGGGTTAAGATATGGGCAGGCATAAACTACGGACAACGAACACAATTGCATTTTATCGATGGCATTTTGAACGCAGTGACAAGATCCTGAGGCCCATTGTCGTGCCATTCATCCGCCACCATCACCACCAGTTCCAACAATATCCAGCAACTTCGCACAGCCATTGAAGAGGAGTGGGACAACATTCCACAGGCCACAATCAACAGCCTGATCAACTCTATGCGAAGGAGATGTGTCGCGCTGCATGCGGCAAATGGTGGTCACACCAGATACTGACTGGTTTTCTAATTCACGACCCTACTTCTTTTTAAAGGTATCTGTGACCAACAGATGCATATCTGTATTCCCAGTCATGTGAAATCCATAGATTATGGCCAACTGAATTTATTTCAATTGACTGACTTCCTTATATATAACTCAGTAAAATATTTAAAATTGTTGCATGTTGCGTTAATATTTTTGTTCAGTGTAATATGGGAATAATATTATTTTGTCAACCCTTAGTTACAGATGA